ATCATTTTGCTGTTGCAGGCACGTGTTGTATTCAAGAGTTGCAGAGTAAGACCCGGCATTGCGCAGAGCAGCTCACGATGATGCTGAATAAGAGGTAGAGGGGCACGCGTTACTGCATTAGAGGTACCCTCAACGGTCCCGCTTTCCCGCACCGATATAGGACAGATTGACACGCGGGGGTCCGTTAGTGACCTTTCCAGCTGCAGGCTATTTTCGAAAGCATTCCCCACGCTGCACGCTTCCGGAATCGCTGCTGGTCATCCGACCCTGTGAAAGAACCCAGAGGCTTTTTGTTGTTTGCATTCCAGACGCCGCAGACAGAGACTTCACTTGGCCTCAGAACCGGGGTGGTAGAGCTAGCAGGTTCTGAATAAAACAGCATAATGAGGATCAACATCCGGTCAATAATAGAGAGACCACGTTGCTCACAGCTACCTATCAACGTTCTCAATCAAATACCATCTGTTGAGTACGTGTAGCTCTTCAGACAAAGATGTGCACATTTGGTACGAAATCTACATTTCTTTGGTGGATCTCTACCTCCAGCAGTACTGGATAAATGATTCAAAAAATCTGGGAGTGTACTCTTTAGACATGGCTCAATCGATCTTATCCATTCAATCCTCTCATTCAAATCTACTGAGACGATGATTGTTGTTCGAAGTCTCGATTTTGGTGAGGAGAGAAGCTTCAATGGATGCTGCCGCTTTATTTGTCAACAGCGTGCTACCTACCGTATTCACCAACACTAAAACGGCCCTGCCATTTACCCTCATACCCACGTCAACATGGCATCTCTTGAGCTGTACATACTCACGTTCAATTGCGGGCGGGCGCTGATAGATCCTCAACTCTTTGGTTCCCACCTCCTCCATGCTTGGCCGAGGGACCAAGCTGCTAATCTGCCCGACATCATCGCCCTCTCGCTCCAAGAAGTCGCTCCAATAGCCTACTCCTTCCTAGGCGGCGCCTTTCTTGTCCCTTATCTCCAGAGATTTGAGGAGGCCGTGGCTGCGGCTGCTTCCTCAGAGCATAAGGAGCTCGGGCATGTCTACGAGACCCTGATCGTCAGGAATGTGGGCATGACGGTGTTGATGATATTTGTGAAGAAAGAGGTCAAAGAAAGGGTCAAATGGATACAAGCTGGAGGATGCGGAGTCGGTGTATGGGGAATGGGCAACAAAGGAGGCGTGGGCCTGCGCATCGGCATAGACGACAAAGAGCTGACGTTCGTGGCCATGCATCTTGCACCTATGGAGGGCGCCGTGAAGAGAAGGAACGAGGATTGGAAGAATATCGTGCAAAATCTGGTCTTTGAGCCCATTGCACACGGATCAGTGCGGTCCAAGACTACAGCAAACGACGAGGATGAACCCTTGCTGCCAGATTCAAATCCTGCAGTTCAAGATGAACAAGGCATATACACACCTCGCAATATCATATTCCTAGCAGGCGACCTCAATTATCGAACATCACACGAACCGCCATCGAAATGGTCACATCATACGTATCCACAACCCCAAGACTTCCAGCAAGGTGGCACGACAGGCAGTCCAGTCGAGCGCTTGGAGCTCCACGCACTGTTCGAGAGAGATCAATTGACTGCAGAGCTGGCAGCTGAGAGGGTTTTGCATGGGTTCACTGAACAGCCGATAAATTTCGCCCCAACCTACAAGTACAACACAAAGGACATTACGAAGGCCCTGGAAGAGCCAGCAGATCGCTGGACGTGGTCAACCCACCGCTGGCCTTCTTGGTGCGATCGGATCTTGTATCTCCCACCATCTGGCGTACTTCCACATATCTACGACTCCCTGCCGCTCATTCCAAGCAGTGATCACCGCGGCGTTGCGCTTTCAGTCACCATACCAGCTCATCTAGCGCGTGATGATGGAGGGAATCTCGACCTCAGAGAGCATCCGCCTTTTGAAATCAGCACGGATTGGCGGTCGAGGAGAGCAAGAGCTCGGTCTCTCGAGATACTTGTCGGAATAGCATCGTATCTTGCGCTCACCTATGAGGGGTACGCCATATTGGTCGGGATTGTGGGCGGAGCTTTCGGCGGGTACATGCTAATGAGGAACCTGACATGAAGAGAAGAATGAAGAGGTTTCCAGACACTGGGAGCTCACTGGGAGTTCACTGGATCGTCCGACAGCTAGATGCAGAGCGCCAGATTTCCAGAAAGACACTTACCGACACCGACAGAAATGACCTTGGTGAACAGAGGATCGATTATGAAAATCCAAACTCTCTTTGAAAATTTTCCACCCATGAGATACTCGTACAAAATAGCTTGTGCTTGCGGCACCTGACATTCGGCCCTCCGACAGCTTGTCATTCTCACCATCATACATCCAAAGGGCCTCTCAGCTTCCGTCCCCCTGCCTCTTAATTCTCTACTTCCCCTCCTCCTCTCCCATGCCTTCCAGAACAACCTCAAGCACATCCCTCCCTACACCACCGCCCCTCTCCATCATCAACAAAACAGCCTCCAGGTTCTCCTCCGTCACAATCGTCGCCTTCGGCCATATCGCATCTCTGCCGGTGCTTACGCCCCATTTCACTTTCATACTCTTCACTTTTTCCTCGGCACCTTTCTTCTTATACTTCGCCATGAATTCCTCGCAGTTCGGGGATGTGGAGGCGAGGGTGGCGATTTCGCTCGTCAGATCCGAGTAGGATGTTAGGGTGGACGTTATGAGGAGTTCATGTCTGTTGGAGCTGACGATTGTGAAAAGGAGGGGTATTTCGGATGCGCCGGTGGATTTCGATTTTATGGCGGCCATGATATATATGAGGTCCTGGCTTGCTTCGAGTTATGCTATCGTTCTTGTTGTGCCTGGAGTTGGGTTCTGTGATGATTCGCTAGTAGAAATTCTTCGAGTTTCCAAGTCTCTTGTAGCCCCGCTTCAGAAGTTTGGTAAACATATACACACGAGATCGCGGCGACAGCAGGATTGCGGGTGACGCGAAGTGCGGGAAGGACGTCATAATGCAGAGAAACATGGGTTAGGTAGCACGAGGGATGGGAGCTGGGATTTGGACTGGGATGTGGTGGTTTGGGTGAAAGCGGCAGGGGTTCGTGGTCAGCCTATCATAGCGCTGGGATTTAATATTCAGCCTGGAGGGATCGAACCCAAACTCCCAAGCATTCTGGAGTCGATCTGGTGTCCGTAAGTAAGTGAACATGGTGGTGAATGCGAAGCGGTGTCATTACGGTGTCCTTGTGGTCCTCATGCCTTTCTCTCATTCGCACAAACAGCAGTTATTTGAGCCGCCGCACGATGCGGATGGTTGGGTTAAAGGAGACGATAGTATAACTTTTTGTACTGCCTGTTTCTGCTCTGAACCTCCATTGTCAACTTAAAAATTCAAGAATGGGCTAATTTCCACGCATCTGAGTAAGATAGGTTCGAGCTTGACAACCTCGAGGTTAAGCTATCAGTCATTCCGTCGCGGCTTTTAGTCTGCGTCGTCATGTCAGGCATGGATGCGTCTTCGAATGATTGTAAGTTTCATCTCCTTCATCGTTCTGGAATTCACAACATTCTGTGCAAACCTTGGTGATCATTGGGTCGAGTTTGAATCGACGGATTTCCTAAATCAAGTGCATTTTTATGTAAACCTGATTCTCTTTCCATGTCTAGCTCAACTTCGAGATGCCGAATGGACAGACCCGTGATAAAAGCGGGTAATTCAGCCAGATTGACTTCCGGCTTCATCGCACTCTAGGCTCATATCGATCATCACCAAATCTCGACCAGATCTGGTTCCAGATCACCACTACAGTTCTATCGAACCTAGCCTACACCTTCCGTATGAACGATTTGTTGTCTAGAACCTCGGAGAGAATATAGGAGCCTCCGTAATAACTGAAAGTACAAGAGCCAGAGTCTCTAAGAAAGCCTTGAAGCAGAGTCGTGGTTCGTTCGAACTTTCTTCGTCGGATGTTTGGGAAAAATTACCAGATCATGGTCTCCACATGGTGATGTAGAGCAAGGCGGTTTTACAGTCCACCATACTGCCAGAAATGTCGCTCTTTCCGCCCGCCCAATGATGATATTCTTCGACGATGGAACAACTCGGTGACTGTTTGGTCACTTCTGCTTGGACGTCTGAGAGAGTAGCGTAGAAGCTTCATAGTAAGCTGGGTAAGCATCGCGAAATTCGGGTGCTCATTCTCCTCGCTGGCCTGAGGAAGCAGATGAGGCCTCGATGGTGACACTGGAGTGGCAAGTGAGATTTGGCTTCTGTTAAGGATAGATGTCCAGGTGAACGAGATGTTTGCGGCTGAGGATCGCTTTTGCGCTGGAGACATGTAAATTAGCGTCACCGTTCTGACATATTCACCCAAGCCCAAGCTTAACAGACGGTCTCTAATCTACCGCGACGCCTCGCATGGTGGGGTTGGTGCGCAGATCGCTTTGCTTTACATTCGGATGATAGGATAGCCGGCTGGACCGATGTCGTCATATTGTTACATAGTCGACTATGAATCTTTCCTTTCCCAGCTGAATGTCTGTGAAATCGATTGAGACGGGAATTGTCACCATTGATGCCATGGCAAAATAAGGTCTTCACGCACTCGCAGAAGCATGATTGCTCCCATGTTGATTCCTCATCTATTTGTTTCATGAGCCATAGCATCCCGTTTCCCCTTCCTTTGCCATCAAAGCATTCGTTCTTCCGCCTGCCACCACCGCGGCATCTCGAAAGTCATTTTTCCAGTACTTCAACGTACTTGGCCCCACTGGAAGCGACTACGGCCAGAAGCCCTTCCGCAAAGACGCGCGCAGCCCTTGACAATAGATTCGGTACCTAGGCACAATGATAGACACGTTCAATCCAAGCCTCATCATCGCCAGATCGCGGCTGGTCGCGTGAACGACCTTTGGGATACCCTTATCCGTATCCTTGGCGGCGAACGACTGCAACCACTTTCTCACCGCTTCTTACCGTATAGGATAGCTATACTCAACGTTTTCCAACGTCCGATAGCCTTGCTAGCTCAGTGGTAGAGCGTCTCACTCGTACCCGTCCAGGCGATGAGAAGGTCGCTAGTTCAAACCTGGTGTGAGGCATTTCTTTTTGTTCTTTTCCCTTGAGTATGCTCTGACCTCTTCCTCTTCATTTTCAGTCCGAACTTTAAATTCCCTCTGTCAGAGGACCGCCACAAACGGTTGATTCTGTTTTGTGTAGATGGACATGTGGTGCGCATTCAGGTCCGTTATTTGCTTCGCTGTGGGTCACACTACGGCGACGTTTATCATGACCGAAGATCTTTGAGTTCTGGTGTACAGTAGCACGATGAGCCAGAGCAGAATCAGAACAGTGCTAAAAGTAACAGATTTCGCTACCTTTCACATACTAAATTGATATGCGATGGCTCTACCTGGCTCGGTAGCTCTCGGTTATTGCCTTCTAGACGAACAATTGGTACCAATAATGAGTCTCGCTGATTGGGTTTGAGAAAGAGCTCGGGAAATGAAGCACAGAATCTCCGCAACAAGGTCTAGATCATGAAAGATGCGCTGCCTCAAATGATTGACTTGTCAGCGAGTCCGCGACGCAACCGTGGGGAAGCGTGCTCAGCGGCAATAGCAGGAGACCGACCGACAAGATGGACACCAATAACGAGAGGTAACTAAAGAATACAGACTGAGAATGGTGAGCTGATCAATTCGTACAGTTGGCAAAGTCGTTGTCAATCATGTCGGCTCATTCAAACATGGTATCACCTAGCGAAGCCCAAAATCGGCACGCAAACTAGATACACTGGTCCTTGATGATCCATATTTTCCCCCCTCCGAAGGTACATACTTTTAGGTAAGTTGAATGCGAGAACGGAAAACGAGTCTCGTGAATGTCAGAACAGATAAACAACCTTGATTTAGGGTCAATATTGAGAAGTCCCTCGCAAAGTCTACAAGAGCCCGGCGCCAGGATCTCAGCAACAATGATGATCTTAATCTAGAAGTTTCTATTTTGAGATGGACGCGAGTTGACTGCCTCGCTGCATATAGGAAGGAAAGAATAGGACGCAAGTCTTGAGGCGTCGTTAGTCTTATGCGTGAGCTAATGCGCACGGGTCATCGCTCCTTTAACTCAAATCGGATGATGAGGTAAAGCTGGAGGTCGGTCCATCATGATGTACGTAATCGTGATATTCAGGCATATACGTAATGGCGGGCCATTCGAACATCAACTTCGAGTCCTACTACCACCAGCAATCTCCCAGCGATCAGAATGCACCAAGCACCTCTGGCGAAACCAAACGGCGATCGACCAAGTACGGAGCCGATTCAATGAATCAAATTCAAAAGAAGCCTCGTACTTGAATCGTCAGGATCTTCAACAATAAGCACGCCTTGAAGGGGATCGATCTTCTCTTGTCAGAATGCTACAACTGCTTCTGGAATGTCTTAGGCTTGACATCGATTTTTCCTGGAGGAGGCCTCTTCGCCAAGCCTTCCAAAGTGCGTCAGGTTTCTCTGGAACTCATTGTGACACACGGTTGGCTCCTGGCTGCGATCGAATGATTGATCCCAATGGAGTATAAAGTCGCCATAGTGAACTTTGAGCTGTGACAAGATGAACAAATGCTTGTTCACCATGCAAAACTCGACGAAATCTTACATCCAGCCATCCAGCAACTCTTCAGCTTGTGGTTAATCCTCAAGCTTTCGCAGACCCAGTTCCAAAAGCTACTTCCACTTTCGCTGGGGCAACGCAAGGGACCTGAGATGTCCCATGTATGTAGAATATGGGCAATGCAATAAGCGCTGGCCTTTAGTATTGGCGGAAAGAAATGCTAACCACCCTCCAATACAAACGCCACAAATGCTTCGTATGCAACGGGTTGCTGGTCCGAGTGTGGTCGTCGTCAATCCACGTCGCGATCTTCTCTACCAATGCGTCGAGGCTGAGACCAGTGTGAGACGGCGAATAAAGCTTTTATGATTGGAGCAAAACCAGTCGTATTCGCGTTCCGCATACCAAAAGCTGTTCTGTTTTGATATTTCTCATGCTATGGCGACGGCGACACTTGACTAGGAAGTTGGATGTCGGGCATTTCCAACGATAGAAGATGAAAAGATGGCAGTGAGGGATGTTGTGCTGAAGACTACGCAGCAATGACACGTCAATCACGTCATGACCTTTTAAGGCTCAAAATCTCGTCAGGCATCGAATCGACCTCGGGAGGTTACATTCTTACTCATTCGATAGCTAATCAAACCAAACAGCGTTCATACCAAACCCAGGCTCCTTGACTTCACATCTCGCTACCCTAGCCAACCATTTCCCATCCCACCGGTACATTTCCACGAAGCCAACTTCGTCATCTGTCAAAGCCATCCATTCTTCTCCCTCTTTGCCGCCGGGATAGAAGCTGACGGCGTTGCTGTGACCTCCGCTCGTTGTAGTTGGTTGCAAACACAGTTGTCGATCTATCTCGCCAGAGGCTTTGAGGGAGAAGGCAGCGATATAACCAGGGATTCCAGCCTTGTTTGAGCGCGATGTGGCGAAAAGAGTGTTGGAGGATGGCGTGACGACGCAAACATCAGAGCGATATAACGATGGAGATTTTTGTACGAGGACTACGATCGTCAGCTCTGAGCATGAAAAAGACGCAGGAGGAACTTACACTCCGGAACAAGCGGATAAGAGGTCTTGGTATAAACAGGAAGATGTGTTTGCGGGTCAATGGTATAAAGACCGAGCGTATTTCCGTGCTCCATGAGAACATAAAGATAGTTTCCCGACGGATGTATAGCCACCCAGCGAGGCTGATCTTTGTGTTTCGGCGCCTCCACGTATCCCACGGTTTCCAATTTCCCAGTACTTGCGTCTTTCTTGTGACACCACACTTTGTTTCCCCACATGTCTGCAGAGTAGAGGTATTCTTCCTTTGGATCAAAGACCATTCCATGAATCGCCGAGTCCGGCGCATATTCGTAGTTTTGGATGCACTCTTTCAAGGTGCCTTCTCCGTCCACGCTAAATATAGATCCATGACCAGCATGTTCGTAGAAAGGATTGCAGTAGAGATTGTAGGGTGCCTTGAGTGCTGCCAGACAGAAGATTGCGCGAGTTCTAGTTCCAGCCTTTGAAGCTTCGGGGTGATGGGTCATAGGATGCGAAGCTGTGTGCGCAATTTCCGTCGGAGACGACTTGATTGCATGTGAAGACCATTTCTTCATCGAAGCTCCATACAGTGCTTTTCTATCGTGCTTTTTGTTCGTCAAGCTTGGCCATTCAAGATTGAGGGTGAAAAATTCTCACACTGATTGTCATCCACGATATAGGTTCATCCTTCGGGATGTCCGTCCGCTTAATCAGGCTCAGGTCCAGAGTCTGATCATCGAACTCGAAGGTAAATATCGCTCCTGGTGGGGTCCAGGTGCCCACGAAAAAATGATGTTTCGGCATTGCACTAAGGCCTCGAAGAATTGATCGCGCCACAATCGAACGCGAGGACGAAAGATGGTCAGGACGGAAGTGGAAAATCCAAGGACCGTAGGCCGACAGGTACGCGCTTTTTACATTATCGCTAAGTATGCATATACCGAGACACGATCCGTTTACCCCGCCATTTCCTCGGTAGGCCGAGAGGTACGCGATCTGATAATTTGGCCCAGGAAGGCGGGAGAGGATAAGATTTTACCCGGCGCCGGAGTCAAATACGGACAATACGATTGGTCGATGGAGTGGTATGGCCAGATTTCCGCAGGCTGGGGACTATATCTCGTGTTATCATGGCTTACATCTGCCACGTGAGGGAGTGGTGAGCCGTTGGTGGAGATGCCAAGGGGGTTCTTTTGGTGCTGTCGTGGACTCGTGGTGATCTTGATGCTGGAATGCGGGCATAGCTACCAATCGATGGCCATGATTTTACATACGAGAGCGCGGTATTAGGTAAAACCTGATGATACCAGCTGGAAACGCAGTGTATAGAAGTCCTGTTGATGCGGCTGGCAAAGATAAGATACAATATCACTCGGGATTTGTGTCATCTAGATGACCTCTCTCGCCTACCGAGCCATCTCCCGAACACCATAGTTCTACACAGCGGAACGAACATCTTCGATGCCGCTCTCCCACCCGGCCGCGCCCACTATGGCCGATATAAATACAGTCAAGGAGCCAGACACTGTCGTCTGTTTCCTCATCAGCACCTCATCCTACCCCTCTTCTGATCTGTGGCCCTCATAATTTAACAACCTCCCGCATTCTGCCCCTCTACACCATACCACAGCTGCTACGATCAAGTCGCAATGGACTCCCAAGGCCAACCCAGGTTCGACCCCAACTTCACTCAAAATGTCATCAACGCAATGGGACCAAACACAACGCCTCGCAACCGAGAAATCTTCACGTCACTGTTCAAGCACCTCCATGACTTCACTCGCGAGGTCGAGCTTACCATTCCAGAATGGCAGGCCGGTATGCTCTTCTTAGACGCCGTTGGGCACATGTACTACACCAGCAATAAGACAAGACACGAGATGCACAGACTGTCAGATATATCTGGATTGGAATCGTGAGTTCCTCGCTCTGCGTGCCTACCAATAGCAAGCTAACCGGCATGCAGCCTTGTGGACGAAATTGCTCATAAGCACGCTTCCGAATCAGGCGCTCCAACCTCCTCCTCCATTCTTGGTCCATTCTGGTCGCCAGACGCTCCCTTCCGCGAGAACGGCGAATCGATTGTCATTGACCCGGCTCCGGGAGGGTTAGTCACTCTGATGCACGGAAAGGTCATCGATCTCGAAACCAAGAAGGGCATTCCAAACGCCATCGTCGATATCTGGCAAGCATCCGCCAACGGCAAATACGATTTCCAAGATCCTGAGAACCAGAAACCGAACAATTTGCGAGGAAAGTTCAGGACAAACGAGAATGGAGAATACCACTTCTACTGCCTCCGACCTACCGCATACTCTCTTCCTCAGGATGGCCCGTCATGGCAATTGCTGCAAATGCTGGACAGACACCCGATGCGTCCTGCCCACATCCATCTGATGATCTCCGCCGAGGGCTACAAGCAAGTCGTCACGCAACTCTTCCCATCTGATGATCC